GTTGGCACTGGGCCCCAACACCAAGAAAAGGCAAATTTAACAGCCCAGATGGGCAGGCAGCTTCCGTGGTCCAGAGAGAAGCATTTTGTGATCCAAGGTAGAGGCCATCACTGTGGGACCAGGCAAACAACCTGGCTGGGAGAGGGGTGAGGAAGGAGGCTGTGGTCTCAGCCAACTGTACCACTGTATCGGAGAAAGGACCCAGTCACCAAGAAACTACCTCTGCAGTACATCATGAAAGGATTTGAGAGGCCCTACCACAAGGTAGAAGGTCTGCCTTCACAATCCTCCCAAACACTGATCATCAGGAATAGAGGTGGGCCCCCCAAAGGGGGCTGGGGATACAGAGGCCAACATAAGAGCAGCAACATGTTTTTTAGGTGGGGGGAACCCACCACTGCCCTCTCATCCAACTTAAGGGACAACAGAACCCTAAGCTCCATGGATGAGGGGCTTCAGAACATATCTTGGTCACAGACATACTAACAGTAGAGGTGTATGTACATAATAAATAATATAAAATAAAGCATATACATTTGTGGGTTTAAAGACTGCAAAAACAAGAAAAGTCAATGGATTGATACACTCTACCTTCCACAACAGACTTCAGACAGGGTGGGTAATGAATCAGAAGCTAGGCTGGGGCTCTGGGGAATGAGACTCCAAAGACCTCATTCTTTCCTACTTCCTCTGCTCTGCCTGGATGCCCACTGCTTATACTCAAGGGTCCTGAGTCTTCAACAAAAAGGGCAGGCACCCAACCAAGCCCATCGGGCCCATTAAATAGTTCTCTTCAGGATGCTTCTGAAGAGGAATCTAGCTCTCACTCATTTCTTAAGTGAGTCCGTGTACATCAGATATGGGCAAACACCAGAAAGGCAAGATAATACTCCCAATCAATCATTCTTTGAATTTGTACATGGTCTCAACAGGCATTATATCCTGAAAATGTTGACAGACTCATCAAGTCTGCATTGATCTGTGCACATAAAAACCGTGACATACAAACACTTAAAATTTGACTCTTGCCACTAGTACTGTTGTTTCCATGATGCTTAAAATACCATCTGGTATTTCCCAAAAGATACTTAATGTGATTCTAGTTGAGATGATGTCAGTGGCCTTAGTATACAGAAAAAAAGGTTACTTGAGCTAAGTCAACCATAGTTCTAAGAAGCAAAGATTCCCAGCAAAAGGCAGCAAGAGGAAAGCCACTCTCTCTCTCTGCCATTGCTGGTATCTGCCATCTCTTCCTCCAGTCCTGTGGCTGACCAGGGACTCTGGAATGTGAGTCTTCCATCAAGGAAGAAGCAGAGGGAAAACCAGCAAGCAAGCATTAGTTAGCAGCCAGCAGAAAGCATGCAAGTGCTAAAGGAGGAAGGCCCACTTGTCACAGCCTTGAAGGACAGCAGTATCAGCAGGCTGTCTTGGTGCACCACTCATCCCTCAAATGGAGGCAAGTGAACCTCAACCTAGAAGTCTCTGAACTCATCTCTCTCTCCTATCAGACCACTCAAAACAAATGAAAATGGCCCTGAGGTATAAAAATCCACTGAGTATCTTGCTCATGGAAAAAGTTTGTATCAAAAGTTTCTGAATTTCCAAAATTGCTTTCATATTCAACTCTAAATCCCTAATTCTGGGTTAGCCTACACCTCACCCAGTTACCCTTGCCAGAATGAAGCACCACTAGTGTACAGCCCAGATCAACAGCAACATGGCCCAGGAGAGAGCTGTTTCCTCCACAAAGTAGGGAGCAATTGTGCCACAGAAGCCACCTAGCCCCTCCCTGTTGGGTCAGCCCTGTGTTCCCAAACCTTTGCAAAAGTCCATCTCTAGGATTAGAGCAGACAGGAGTTGTGCCCACTGCCCATACCACCTGGGAGCATGGGTTATGCAATGCAGTGTGCAAAGTCAGCCCTCCTTGGCCTTTTCTTGGAGACCCAGGGACCAAAGAGAGCACCTTCTGCACCAACACACAGGAGTCATCTGCCTGGGACTATCCCTGAAAAGCTCCTTGGAGACTTTGCTCCATGGCCCAGGTATGGCAAAGATGGTCACAGATCCCGGGTGGCCTTCAAAAGATGACAGGTGGTGTATATTTTTGTCAGCTGGGACTTGGGCTTAGTCAGTGCCTCCTTAGGTCTGCTCCTCAACCTGGAGAATTTGAAGGCTGAAATTTATGGTTCCTGCTTAGCTCAAAATTATCCTGTTCCTTTGTTTCCTAGGGGTATAAAAAATGCATTTCTATTGGCATCTACCACTATTTTCCTAGACTTGGAAAAGCTGGTCCTGTAGTTGTATGGAATGGGGGTGTCAAGGTAAATCTATTTAGTTAGTGTTCAATATTAATGTGAAGTACTGCATTCAGCATTTGCACAAATTCCTTGGGGGGGAAAAAAAAAACATTAGAAAGAGGCAAGATGCCCTACTTTCTCCACTAGGGAAGCCAAACATGTCCACCATGGCACTGAGTTCTCTGCAGGGAGTGCAGTGTGGGGGACGGGGTGGAGGGTAAGGAAGGAAGAACAGAATTGAATGTGGCACCCTTTCAAATTCAACTTATTTAAATACCAAGATTTAAGCTATTTGATTAGTGCCTTAGTAAATCCATTTACAAATCTTAGAGTTCTGTTTTCCTAAGAGTTTAAATACATGATTTTGGACTTGCCTGATGAATACAGACAAAATGACGATAAATACAGAACAGAACCATGAAGGGAGGGAACCTCTAAAGACAGTTTGAAAACAGCCCCATTGCAAAGAGGGCAAAATGTCCTGGACATTCGGATCCCAGGAGTCTAGTTCCAGTGGAGCCTTCAGGATGCCAGAGTGGCTGCTTAGGAGAAAGTGTGGTCTCTCCCAAACCATAGAGCCAGGCTGGCAGCAGAGGCCACTATAGGCAAGGCCCTCAGCACAGAACTGAGGGTGGGGGCTGCATCTGGATGGCAACCCTAGGAGAAGACAATCCAGCCAGAGCGCTGAGGTGCAGCAACTATGCACCAAGATTTAACCTAATTAACAGTCTTTTTAGCCCAGCCCCAATGACTTTACAGCTCCGACTGGCATGGGTCCTCCTAAGTGAGACCACTCTCCTGCTGCCCCAGAGAAGAAAGGGACCAGTGTTTCTCCTTCAACTGTCTGAGGGATCTGACTCAGAGGGAACATGAGATTTGGAAAAGAACCTGGTGGTTCAGACATGAGTGCTATTTGAAGGGTCTTTAGCTCTCCTCAGCTGTAATTATAGCCACATATAGTTCACATTTGTTCCTTTGGGGACCAGATAGGAACTGTTCTGGATTTTGTGTTATCAAAAGTGTGAATCAAAGGTGAAAAATAGTTAACAGAAAATGAGTAAAAAACCTCATCCTCTGGGAGCCCCACTGTAGTGCCACCTTGCCAGCTCCTTATAAGCAGAATACTCTGCAAGAAGCCACCATGCTGAGCAGCAAGACAGCATACTAAAAATTTCCTGTTTCTCCTAAGAGGCAGTGGCTGGTATTCCCCCTACTCCCCTCTCACAGGTCTTTAGGATCCATGAACAACAGTGGGGCTCTGAGAAAGACACCAGCCTATGACTCTCATTCCAGAGGCTCCTGTTAGCAAGGCTGCCCTGGGACTGTACATGGAGAGAGGCCCTGGGCCCGAGAGGTGGTCTGGGTGAAGTTCTTTGAGGCCACAGAGCCTCGGCTTGACCACCTGGCTCCCAAGACCTCAGGGAAGGCAAGCACCACTGGGCCAAAGTGGCAGTTCATTGAGGGAGAGACCCCTGCTATGGCCAGGCCCAGGTTTCTTTTTGTTACAGAGAATTCTCATTTGTACACACTTGTCATATCTGTGTTGTGTCTGACTAGATGCATCTTAGGAAATGGGCTTTTTAACTTGGATGGACATACTTGAAAAAGGGGACACTCCAGTGTGGGGTGCTACATGATACAGGCTCTGTCCCTAGGTGTCCCTTAGGGGCACTCTCCATGACCCTCCACCAAGTGAGGCCAGTATCTCTCTCACTAAGGGGCATGACAGCATCTGAGGAAGACATGCCCGTACTGCCACCTCAGGGCAAACACTTAAATCAGTCATGCATTGACACCACAGCCACCAAACTGCTCACCAAGAGGCCAGCCCAGCACATCACCCCCCACATAGCCCAACCAGGGGTGAGCACACTTCCTACCTGAGGGGGCAGAAGACTGCTGCTGAGCCCCCCCTCCTGCATGCAGTAAGCCCAAATGCAGAAATGCTCTCTTCTCTGCCAGTGACCAGCCTCAGTGGGTATGGATAGTCCTATATAAACACTGTGGGCAGGAGAATTCATTTCAGTGTATGAATATCGCTAGCAAGATGCACCTATCTCTTGGGCTAATGGTAAAACACAGATAAGCTAGTTAAGAAAGCAGTCACTCAATATCTGCTGACATTAATTTCACTACACATGGTAAATTTGGTATTAAAGTAAGACAGAGACACACATGAAATGGCCACAACAAACATTTGGTTGCTGAATCCCTGTTTGGGGCCAAACTGACCCTGGCTGTCCAAGCAGCCTCTCTAGTGCAGGCTGCATTTGAGGCAGGAGGCACAGCAGTCCTTGGGGGACGCTGCCACCAATGGGCTTCCTGAGCCCAGAGACAAAGGAAAAGGAGGACAGTTGGCTCCCTGGAAATCCCCAAAGTTCCCTCCTTTAAAAACATGGGTTTAGACATGCCCTCTTGGCCCCAAGTAAAGAATCCATCTCCTGTTCTGATAACTACATATGTTCCCGTGGGAAGGGAAGGGACGTGACCTCCACATCACATGTTTACTGAAAAGCCCTGTGGAAGGTCTCCATTTGGCATCTGTGTAGCAGCATCCTGGGTTAGCAAGAGCAAGGGCTGGGGAGGTGGAGACGGCGCTCTGTGAACTGGGGTGTGAGAGGACAGCTGGCTGAGCCAGAGACCCCAGGCCGAAGGAATGTCAGGATGAAGTCAACTTGCCTCTTGCCAATGATAAACCATGGGTTTAAAATTCATTAACATTCATTTTGGTGATAAAAATTCCTTAGGGTGGGAGCAAAATCACATTCCCAAGCAAACGTTAAACCTTCCTGAGGGAAAGGGGCATGGTTAAACATTAAATTCTCAAAAACAACACTGAGCACAGAGAGGCGACCGACCACAGGTCCCTCTGCATGCCACACCCCACAGTGACGACAGACTTGGCAGGTTCTGCAGTGACACGGTTTTCTTCATTCATCCATCAAGTTCGACAGCGACATCCACTGGGGCACAGAGGAAGGGTGTCCCTCCCTGGGAAGGCCACGGCAGGCCACTTGAGGGCAAGTCCATCCTATTAGGGTCACATCATGGGACCACAGCAGAGTTCAGACAGAACAAGTTAAAACTCTGCAAAAGACACTTTTGAAAAACATGATCTCTTGAAAAAATAAATTGCAACAATTTTCAACTTCATGCAAATTGAGGGAGGAGAGTGAGTAAATGATAAAAGGTACAGCTGAAAAAATAAACATGATTCTATTTGGGCGAAGAAGTTCATCTCCAAAATCTTAAACACCATGCCCCAGCTGTCGCTTTCTCATCTCTAGTTTCCCATTCCTTCTCTTGCTGTCCTCTGCGGCTTCCAGGAAGGGGACAAAGTCTTTGGTCTCAGAATGTTGCAGGACGCAGCATGGCAGACAAGCTCATACTAATGAAGTCATGGTCTGACAGAGGCCAGAGCCTCAGGGGGGGGGACGGTCAAGGAGGGCCAGTGTAGGCACCCCTAGATGGCGCCTTCGTTGTGCAGGCTGTGATTGGCCTTGCTGTGTGTCACGCAGTTCTGTTCATTGAGCAGGTTGGCCGTCTCATCTGGCAACCCATCATGCAGCTCCGTAAGAGTCAATTCAATTTTAGTGTTTTCACTGTCTGAAGACTGAGGGGTTTTGTCCATCCGGGATGCCATCAAGGCATTTTGGTATTGCTGTCTTGAGATCTGGGGCCAGAAGATGACACAGAAAACAAACCAAGAGAATGCTTAATTTTAGGTCCTCTTGTCTCTAACATATATTATACATTAAATCCCCCAAAAGGATTTAATGTATAATAGTAGTTACTACAGGAGAAAATCATCCTTGAGCATAAACTAAGCCATTTTTTTTTAATTGCCTTTGAGAGATGGGGTCTCACTATGTTGCTCAGCCTGGCCTTGAACAATCCTCCTGCTTCAGCCTCCCAAGTAGCTGAGGCTACAGGCATGTGCCAGGGTTCCAGGCTTAAATGGAGTCACTTTTTAAAGTTCAGATTGACTATGGCAAACAAGTCAGTTTACTGATGTAAACCATTTCCAAATTTTGACTCAATACCAGAGAGATGAGAAAATAGAGATGAGCTTCCACTACACTAAGAAAAGAACCTATCTCCAGGGCAGAAGGCAAGAGGAGGCTTTCCAGAGGTGCATCCCCCTCAGTAGCCTTGTGAGTCTCCCAAGCTCACCACCCCTTCCAAGCTACCCAGAGTCACTCGTCATGGGCTCACGACTGCTTTTTGGAAAATGTTGGCTCTTTTTCTCCAGATCTCCAGCTCCCAGCCCCTGAACAGGCTACTTTTGATTTGGCAGCTCAATTGGTACAGCCAAAGGATAAATGTGTTTCCTAGACTTAGTCCTGGGCCCAGCTGAGAGAGGGAGGGTTTGTGGAAAAGAACTGGAACACAGTTTCAAAGGGAAAGCACAATGGAGGGGCTAGGAAGCCCCAACAATCTGCCATAGAAATTGGCATCTACCCAGGGTCCAGCCAAGCCACCCTCTCTTCACTTACCTTGACAAACTGAAGGTCGGAAAGGGCTCGCACTGAGTAATCAGGGATGTAGACTTGCAGAAATGAAGAATTGAGCTGGTTATTACTGCTCCCCAGCGTTGGTGTTATTGCGTCAATCCGGTCACTTCGACTGAGAGAGTCTGAGTGATTTAAGCCACATGGGCGAGGAGGTGACTTATTTTCACCTAGAAAAGGAGAAAATGCCCCTTAAAGTAGAGGTAGCCAATAGTCGGCTCTTTATTCCAAGTGAAAACTAATAATTACCACACAAGCCCCATGAGCTTATCCCAGGTGCCGTTGCCCTGCAGCTACAACACAGGCGTCCTGCACAGATAGCCTCATTGGCTTCTCAGGGACAGGTTATGTTGATCTCAGTTGTGACAGAATCCTCCCAAGTCTCACAGTGGCCTTGTACCTTTGGGAGGAACATCACTGGATGCTATGAAATGTACAGATGAGGGACAAGGCCTGAGATAGCAAAGTCACCTAGTCACCTGATATCAAACACAGGTTACAAGAGGATGGCTCTTACCTTTGCCAGAAGCAAAAACAAAAAAAGACTGGAGAATGTCCATAAATCCATATGTGTTTTAAATGGCTCAAAATACTTCTGTTTTCTCATTCCTGACCCCAAGCCAAGCCTATTACCTTTGTCTCTGATCCAATAATCCCACCAGGCAGCTGGAGGATAGCTCAGGAATACAGAACACTGAGGATACCAAATCCTCAAGAACCTGGACTAAGATTTTTTTCCTGTTTTGTTTTTGTTTTTTTTTTTCCTTGTGCAGTACTGGGGATTGAACTCAGGGACTTTGTACATGCGAGACAAACACTATGACTAAGCTATATCCATGGTTCTTTTAATTTTGAGACAAGGTCTTGATACATTTCAGAGGCTAGCCTTGAACTTACATACCTCCTACCTCAACCTTCTGAGATTATAGGGGTGTGCCACCACACTCAGTTCTAAGTGAAGTTTTTTTTTTTTTTTTGGGTGGCAGGGGAATACCAGGAATTAAACTCAGGGGCACTCAACCACTGAGCCACATCCCCAGCCCTATTTTGTATTTTATTTAGAGACAGACAGGGTCTCACTGAGCTGCTTAGCACCTCACTTTTGCTGAGGCTGGCTTTGAACTCACAATCCTCCTGCCTTAGCCTCCCAAGCTGCTTGGATTTTAGGCATGCACCACCATGCCCAGCTTTGGTGAGGTTTTGATAACATCCTTTCAATAAGATAAAGTAAAAGGAGTTGCAGGTGAGTATTGTTCTTACTCTTAGAGGAAATTCATTGTAGTTTTTAATAAAAATAAAACCTATCCCTACAAGGCTTTCTCCATTTTTGCTTTCCCAACCACCTCTGTTGCACAGATATTAACTGGGTGCTTACAACAAACAGGTCCTGAATTGTATGATGTCACAGGTATGGAGGGGACCTATTTTTGCAAGTTTTCCCTGACAGATACTCCCATAGAAGAGTATCTAGTCTTGCCCTTCAATTGTCAGAAAGTTGTCCTCATGGCCAAACTCAGCCTCCCTGGCTTTCAGTGACAACCTAGTCTCACTTCCACTCCGGAGTACTACTGGACAACTTTTATTCCTCTGCTATTTGAAAGAAATAGTCCTTAAAATATGAGGAGAGTCATGTCCTTCTGAAGTCTACTCTTTTCCAGGCCAAATGCTTTTTTTAGATGGGCACAATACCTTTATTCCTTTAATATATATATATATATATATATATATATATATATATATATATAGTGCTGAGGATCGAGCCCAGGGATTCACACATGCTAGGTGAGTGCTCTACTGCTGAGCCACAACCCCAGCCCCTCAGCTGCTGTTCTTTATACCATGTGTTACCAACCCTTCAGCCCATCCTGATCCCCCAGTCTTAACCTACATTTGTAAATGTCCCTCTTTAAATAAGACATTTGGAATAAACATTAGTGCTCTGGGACTCTCAGATGATGAATCCACTTTCTTTTAAGATTTCCATGTCAAAACTTTTATGTCTACAATTGTCATGTCATTAACCAGTTTTCCACTGTTAAATTAAATTAAATTCAGAGTAGCAGTTTCTCTTGTTTCTTTCCACTATCTTATATAAGAACAAGGCACATTAATAATTTATCAATGGAGAATGGAACTTTAGAACAGGTGACCAAGTTTGTTAAGCTTCAAATTCATTATCTGTAAAAAGTACACAATAAAGTACCTACCTCATAAGATCTGAGGGGTAAAAAGATAACAAAGTGCTTAGCATAACATCTGACATCCAGTATGAACTTGATAAAAGTGCCTTGTTAACATTTCATATTCTCTCCTATTAGCTTCCTCAGACTCTTCATTACGCACCAATCCTCAGGACAAAGTCTTTCCTCGTGGTGATAATGTCACCCACAATAACAGAAATATGAGGAGTTGTTTCTTGGGCTTTTTTTTTTTTTTTTATTAAACCCAGGGGTGCTTTACCTCTGAGCCACATCCCCAGCTCTTTTTATTTAAAAAAAAAATTATATATATAGTTGTAGGTGGACACAATATCTTTATTTTATTTTTATGTGGTGCTGAGGATCGAACCCAGTGCCTCACTTGTGCTAAGTGATTACTCTGCCACTGAGCCACAACCCCAGTCCCCCCCCCCCCCTTTTTTTTTTTTTTTTGAGACAGGGTCACACTAAGTTGCTTAGGGCCTCGCTAAATTGCTGAGGCTGGCCTCTAACCTGTGATCCTCCTGCCTCAGCCTCCTGAGTTGCTGGGATTACAGGTTGCACCACCTCACCTGCTTTGCCTCCATTACTTCTTTGAGACAGGGATCCTACTGTACCTCTGGGCTTTGGCCATAAATCCCATCAGCATTTCTATAGATAACTTTTTTCAGGGGGTGAGGTACTATGGATTGAACTCAGGAATGCTTAACCACTAAGCCACAACCTCAGCCCTTTTTCATTGTGAGACAGGGTCTCAACTTTGAACTTGTGATCCTCCTGCCTCTAGGATTACAGGCCTATACTTTTTTGAAACAGTGTTTACTTCTAAGTGTTAAAATTTAAAGGTGTAAAAGCAAGGCACTGACAGGACACTTGGCTTTTTGGTCAGAACTTATGCACTAGCAGGTGGAGACTGGGGCCTCTGCATACTTCTGAGTCTTGTTAGTGACCATAGCCCTTTGTTTTTGAGGATGGACCCTCTCCTTTACCTGAAGCCCACTCCTGTTGTATGCCATAGCAGTGCCTGGAGAAGCAGCCCATTTCCCAGAACCCCTTCTATAGCGCACAGATGCCTGGCATAATCAAGTGGGGACACAACACTTGGTTTCAGTTCACAGCTTGTACCTCAAGTGCAGTCATTATAACAATTAAAGTAAGACTTAATAATACAGGTCCACATCATTTATCTAAAAACCCTTGGAGACCAGAGATGTCCTAAAATTTAGGAAGGTAATAGGATCTGTCTGCCCCATGTTACATGCACCATCCAGCAATTCTGGGGCATCCCCTGGAATCAAATGCATTCACCTGCGATGAGATACAGAGAGACCCTTACCACACAGAGTCAAGGCTGGAGCAGCTGTCCCTCAGTTCAGGTCATACTTTGTCATCCAATTTATGTGCTAAGATTTCATAAAATTATGGGGGGAAATTTCAATTTTTATTTTTTGCTGGCTTCTTATTTTATTGCTTTGTCCTGGCTGATTTTATCCATCCTGCCTCAGACTCAATTCCTTCCTTTAAGCAGTAAGCTAGAAGACACAATAAAGAAACATTCCCAGCCTCCTGCCTGGAGCCAAAAGGCTCCTTGCTGGAAGAGGCTGGAAATCACTGGTTCCGTCCAACTCCCGTTTGCTAGGTATCACACATTACTGCAATGTGAGCATCCCTGCAAGTGTGGACCTACAAAAGGGGACTTCACGATCACTGGATCAGATGAAGCAGGCAGAGCTGAGAAATTTCTAAGTTCTATGGTAAAAGTAAAATGCAAATTACATGTCCAGGGGCTTCATCCCAAAGTCACCTGCTTTAGCATCTGAACAATTTAAACAGGTAACAGACACAAGCAAACAAAATGAAAAAATGTGTGTACACACACACTCACACACACACACGTATTTTGCTGGCTGGTTTGTTTAGAGCTCTATGACATCTTACCCCCAAACTTTAGAAGCAAAGATTTGAGGGAACATTAGTTTACTTCTAAGACAAAGTTTGCCTCTTTTACCGAATATCAGCATTGTAGAGTTTTGCTAAACTGGATTATAAGATGCAAATTTCATCAGTCAGGTTTAAAAACATAAGCTGTATGGAACAAAATAAATATAAAAGTTGTGTTACCCAATAGGAAAGTCCAGCAAATTTAATTAAAGAAAGATTAAGCCTTTCTTTTTAATGGGTGGACATATTAGCTAGGCATGGCCAAACTCTCCTGCGGGGCAGTAATCAGCAGCTGGTTAGGAATGTGCATGGTACTAATTTCAAAACAAACAAAGGGAAACAGGGAGAAGCGGGGGCCACCTGCCTGATAGTAAGCAGAAATACATGCCCCCTGTTCACATGGATGCTGGAAAAATGACCAAAGAAACAGGAATGTTGTTGACCTCTGTGGATGGAGAACTATCCTAGTTTGCTAAGAAAAGCTCACGGTCCTTCAGGCTTTTGATCTAATACACTCTGTAGAAGATGAATGTGTTCTAGCCTCAGCTTTTGAGACCCTGCAAACTCCATACTCCAGGAGGACAGAGGAAGGTACAAAAGACGCCGTCCCCTTGCTGACCCAAGAATCCCAGGCCAGCAGTGCAGGTGGGATGGGGCAGGTGACATTAAGGATGCCTGTCATTCTCCCTTTCTGTGTTCCTGAATCCTTTCCCAGCTTTCCTAACTCTTTCTGTACCTACAGTGGCTTATGCTTTCCTGAATGGCTCACTGTTGAGTCAGAGAACCTTAGTCTCAGGGCTCCAAGGAAAATGAGAAGCAGATTTGTCCAAATAGAGGGAGCAGACCAGGCCAGCCAGCTTGCGCAGGGTCGGGGAGGCAAATCAGGAGAATGAAAAGGAAACATGCAGAATTACCTGGAGAACCTGCTGCTAACAACTCTGTTCTGCTGACAACAAAGGTACGAGACAGGGACAAAGGAACTGAAAAAATGGAGAAAAACAGGGTGAGACCATATTGAAAGGCAAGAAGGGAGATCTCTGTAATCAAGGGACAGGAGCGGACACCTGTTCTACTGATAGGAGCATTCAATCACAGAAATGCAAAAGCCATGTAATATGACAAACAAAGCCCACACTGCTTTCCAGGAAGAGGTACCGGGGAGGCTTCAGTCAGGAGAAATCCTATTCACATGCTCCCTGCCTAGCCTAGAAATCTCTTAAGCCAATAATACCGCATCGAGGTTCGCAGCCCCCAAACATGCTACTGCTAAGGACCTCATCACAAATAGCCACCCAAAAAGGGAGCCCAACTGATCAACCAAGAGGATGGCCAAGCCGCACCCAATACTTATTCAGCGCACAGCCCACAGCGCTCGTTTCTGTGGCAAGTAATTAATTATTCAATTCATTCACATTCTCGGTGAGTCTTTTTTGACCTGATGCTTTGCACTGCTTTGGAATAATTTCAAATTTCAAAATAGAGGAAACTGAATAAAGCATTTCAAGCCCAGATTTCCTGAGCATGGCTGATCAAGGTCATGCTCATTGCCACTTACTCGGAGGGGGAACTGCGGTCCCATCGACACACAATGTTGGGCACATCTTGAAAACCAAGGATTGTAGGTTTTTTCCAGACAGCTAACTTTAATAAATAGAAACAGGCATCTCTTTATCTTGACGTGCCTGCACTAAATGCATCTCTCAATGAATATACAAGATTCCAGACAGCTAGATGTACAGTCGAGTACAACACTAGGCTTCGGAATAAGTGAAATAGTGTTAATAAACTTCCCTTCTTTATTGATAGCTTCAAACTAGGCGAGGGAGGATATTGCCACCCCGGGGCCTTGCTAGTGAACGGGTATTCTTCAATTCCTCTTCTGAATGAGATTTGTCCCTAAAATGTGGTTCAATATGCACTGGGCTAATATTTAGGTTTAGAGAACCAGCAATCAATGAAAGAGCACAGGTGGGGCTTCTTTCTTTTCAAAGTCACCATACAGATCTGGTTCTGCTAACCTGAGGCTAATCTGAGGCTGGCTGCCAAAAGTAGTCACAATGACAACATCTTTATATTATAAGACATTTCTGCTCATGTTGTAAAGGTCACAGCACACTTGTGGAACCACCACTGCCTTCTATCCTAATAATCACAGGAGGAAATATTATCATATTCTTCAACAATGAGGAAGCCAAGGGCCTGTCCCAATGTCATATAGCCTACAATGATGGAACTGTGGCTGTACCCAGGTCTCCTCATGTCTGGTAAAAGCCTCTCTCACACAAGCTAACAGTGAAAACAGAAGATCACCTTCAAGTTTACCACAGACACACCTACTAACTAGGGTCAGAAAGGCCTGTGTTCATACTGGGTGTCCGTCAGCAGTTGGTCAGTGCCTGTGGCCCCCCTAGACCTGCATGGGACAGTGAGGAGATGCATCTGGGCCAAAGGAAGTTTAGAACTTTGAGAGACATGCGACAGTGCCCTGGCTTTCTACAGAGCCCTGTAACATCCTTGGGCCCCTCAGACTGCCGGCTGGCACAGTAGATAGAGACAAACATCACAAAAACAGACTTGTCTGGAGATGTCCTCTCCCTTTTTTAAGAGTGTTTTTCAAAAGTGACAGTCATCTTTTTAGGTTGGGTTATTTTTAGGTTGGAGGTCTGTTTCCCAAGACAGTCTATCATTTGGCATTTTGGCCACAAGGTGGCACTCCGGCACCTGTCTACCTGCTGACCTGCTCCAGCCAGAGCAAGGCTGCAAGTGAATGCCCTCCATGGCAAATGCAGAGGTGCACTTAAGACCCATCCGAGGTGAGCAAGCACACCAGGTATGTCCGTGTTCATGCCCTTCTTGGACTGGGGCAGCTTTACAGCATCTTGGAATCTTTTGCACGGAGCTCTTGGTTAATCTACCATGGCATACCCACCCCTTAGCTGGCCAACTCAAAAGGCCTGCTGTCTAGATGAGGAGAGGTGGCCGTAGGCTGCAGATATCAACAAACTTGTTCATTCTCAGAAAGATGCAAATAAGAACTTCCAGAGTAGCTAACATTTAGAAGTCTCCAATGTTAGGTGGAGAGTGACTGGAACCCTCACAGAACAGGCAGGGGTGTGACTGGTACAACCCTCTGGGAACTATTGGGCAGTGTCCACCTGAGCTGAAGAAGCACGCAGGCCATGACAAGCAGTTCCACTTCAACACACACACGTTTACCAAAGACACGGCCAGGAAGGTTCCGCACACAGTTCAAGTAGCCCCAAACAGGAAAGGACACTACCAGTGTCCATCAGCTGTAGATTCTCACAATGGAATACTACAATGCAGCAAGAAGAAACATGTAACAAGCACACACAAGACCACAGACCAGGGTGACAAGCACGACACGGAGGGGGAGAAGCAGAGCTCCACAGAGTACATTTGCATAATTCCATTTATACAAAGCTCAAGATGGTAGTTGCTTTGGGGGGACAGTGACTCAGGAAGCCTGAGGGGGCTTCTGTGAGGTGGGTGACGCTCTGTCTCGACCTCAATGATGGACTACACAGGTGTGTTCAGTGTGAGAAACTCACAAAAGTGTATACTATGATTAACATCAATAAAAAGTTCAAAAAGTAAGTAAATAAAGTCAATCGGCAGGTATGGAGAGAAAGCTGCTGTAGAAGGGCAGGACTGCCTAAAGCAAGGCCCCGCCTAGGAAGCAAGATCCAAACTCACCTGGAGAGGCTGTAAGGGCCATGACGCCATAGTACGAGAAAGCACTTGCTTCAAACTTCATCCCCTCCTTCCCAGCTTCCACTTCCACTTTCCCCTGTGGAAAGAAAAGGGGTGGTTGAGTCTGGCCGTGTGAGTCTGTATGCACAGTTGACACAAAATTTGGTCCTTCCTCAGGCTTTTGTCTAAATTCCTTTCCCAATGATCCCAAGGAAGCTTTAGATAATTTTTCTCATGTTGAAGAGGGGGTTAATTCATCTTTAATAGGAAAACCAGATTTGGATGGATATGTGCAGGTAGTAATAAAGTGTGACAGTTATTATCTGCGAGTCCACTTAATATTCTCCAGCATCCTTATTTCTTGGGCTCTTTGAGAGCCCTCCAGTAACAAAAAGATGGTGCTATTGCTCCATCAGTGAGAAAAACACTGAGCTGGTGCTCAGTGGTGGCTGCCCAAGCTGTCCTGTAGGACCGAGAGTTGGGGTAGAATCCAGCTCAAGGGCCAGTATGGTTTGTGGCCATGGATCAAAGTCCTGGACAGAACCACTCCGATCTCATAAACCCTATGTCCTGAGTAACTGAGCAGAGACCCAACAGGCCAGCTCACTGGGGGCACATGGACCTTCTCCTCATCATCTTGGAAAAGTGCCTAGAGTCTCCTTCCATTGGAACAGAACTCCCTTTGCCTCCCCTAACCTTTCCCCTGGTTTCTCTTTCTCCAACTTGTCTACAACCTTTCTCTCCATCTTTACCACTTCTGTGGGGAAGACTGCACCTTATCCATCCCCCAAAGCCCAGAAGCCACTATAATCCTTTCAGGGGAGGTGCTCCACATGAGTTTCCTGGCCTATGCAATGTTCTCAATGAGTCTCACTCCTAGATGTCCCAGCCAATGTGTCTTGCTCACATTACCTATGACTGCCTCTCCAGGGAGCAGGCATCTCGACAGTACGTTCTTTACAAGGGGTTAACAAATGTTAAGCAACCATTTGTCGAAAAGCAACTGTGCTAACACCTCATGATGTTTTGTTAATCCAGTTAATGCTCGTAACTCTATGAAACAGACACAATTATCCCTCTCTCTCATAAATCAGGAGAAAGGGGCTCATATTTAGTGGTCAACTAACATGCTACACATGCCATCAACTATTATGAACCCCATTATTCTGATCACACTGTATTAAATTATCCTACATTAAATTCTCAATTATAGAAGTTCTTTTTTAGATTCCTTCTTCAGGAGGAAGACTAACTGTGCCCCTCTCTCAGGTTTTTCTTCACTCTATGGAAATACTTGTTTTTACTAGTCCTAGACAATTCTCTTGCTGTAAAAAAGGAACTTAAAATTAAAAAATTACACACACCTTTTTTTCCCCAGTGCTGGTGATTAAACCCTGGGCCCTATGACCCCAACACCTCAACCCACAATTTTAAATCAACCTGCAAACAAGTGGATGCTGAAAACCCTTGCCATGCAGGTAGGGCCCCACAGGGGGCGCCATGGAGCCCATGGGAAGGCAGCCTTGGCCCTCTAAACAGCTTATAGAGGACAGCACAGGAAGACCAATGATGCGAGCCAATAAACAAAAGCACTATGGGAAAAGGACAAGAAGAATATAAGAGAGTTCAGAGGAAAAACACTTTCTATTCTCGATAAAGACACATTTTATACACAGGAAAGAAAAATCTAAGGATGAGCAGGATCTGGTTGAGCCGAGAGAAGGGAATGGCATGAAGGAAGGTTGGAGGCAGGTGACACAGACGCCAGGCGGGAGGCTGTGCGAGGGAGGAGGGGAGAGGAGGCTGGAGAGCAGCTTGGTGAGCAGCTCAGACCACAGGGCTCCAGGAATAACGACTAGGGCAGGTGGGTTCTAGGGCAGGTGGGTTCCTGGGCAGAGGAACATGGTTTCAGGAAGGTCTAGACAGGCTAGGATGGTGGCCCTTGAGCTGGAAAGAGATTGTGATGAGAGAAATTATGGGTCAAGAACAAACAGAACTTTGTGAAACTGCCAGGGAGAGGACAGTTGGGAGGGAGTGAGAGGGAGTCATCAGAACAGAGGCCGAGCCACGCGAGAAGGCCTCTGGAGAGCTGCTCTAGCGGCGAGGCTGGGAGGAGAGGAAGACTCCAGTTCAGAACGAGGCCTTCTGAAGAGGCTCCAAAGACACAGATGGAAGAAGCTCCGGGGAGATCAGAACTGTGGGTAGAGACCCAGGAGTGGAGGAGAGCAGGCAAACGGGCAGAGAAAAGGACCAGCCCCAGACCCTGACCCAGAGGACCAGAAACCAAAGTGGGACTGGAGAAGCCCGACGAGTGTCTCATCACAGTGTGGCTGGGGGTTCGTGATAAAGTTGGGTCAGCAGCATGAATGAGCACAGGGAGGCCAAGGAGAGCAGTGGAGCTGATGAGGAAGTCGCTGGTGGCCCTCAAGGTTATTTCCATTGCACAGAGAAGAGAGGAATCAGCAGGCTGAAGGTGGAACTGGCAGCAGGGTGGAGTGGACCAAAGGAAGGGTGCTCAGGACCCAGGGGCATGTACGATCAGTGTGGAGAAGAGGGGCTGATGGGGAGCAAAAGCTGGCTGGCAGGAAGAATGGGATGCAGGGCACAGTGACTGCTGCCAGAGCAGGCAGGGTCCCCCAGAGAGGAGGGAAGACAAGGCAGGAACAGAGATGGCATTCAGAGATGACAAGCAATAAAACAGAAGTTCCTGGTGCCCTGTCAGTCCAGACCACTTATCCATCTCTTCCTGGACTAACCCAGGATTTTGCATCAGAGTTAATATGTACATAGATGCTCTCTGGAAACCCGTCTTTGTAGTCTGGAATCTCAAGAGTGGCTGTAGGACCATGTCTACCTGAACTTCTGCACAGAGAATCAAATAAAACAGGGCCTCACAGTCTGCAGTGGGTCTGGTGGTTTGTTTTTACAAGCACCAGGCCATGTGTGTTCTGAATCTCTGCAAGTGGGTGTCAGTTCACATTTTTTTGTGTGTGACAAACTATCAGAACCAGCAAGGCAACAGTCACAATCAGAACAGGAATGAGGAATAGCAGTGGGCCTACCTCCTAGAAAGGAACCTTACCTGGGGCAGAACTCCCAGTACTGGGGCCGGAAGTTCCTCCTACTTGACCCAGGGCGAAGATGCCCAAGTCCAACCTCCAGCTCCCACTCCGAAGCACCAAATTAACTAGTATGGGGTGCAACTTTGGCAATAGGATTTTTAAAAGTCCTCTAGGTGATTTTAGCAAGTAGCAAAGTTTGGGAGTCCCCGATTGCAGACTGCAGGTGAACAATGGCCCCAGCTCCAGAAATTATATTCCCTGACCTCTCAAGAGACTTGCAAAAAGGCACAGGGGCTGTGGGTCTGCTAATTAAACAAGGTCAGCTGAAGATCAGAGCACAAGGGCTGGGGTTGTGGCTCAGCGGTAGAGTGCCTGTCTCACATGCGTGAGGCACTGGGTTTGATCCTCAGCACCACATAAATAAATAAAATAAAGGTATTTGCCCATCTGCAACTAAAAAAAAGTCTTTAAAAAAAATCAGAGCACAAAATCATAGTCATCTCAGAGGATGTCAAATGTCATCCTATGTCTATCAAGACAGGGCCCGAGGCAGGGGAGGATCAGCCATCTTCTAGAAGCTGCTGAGTCCAGATCATCATGCTATAGGAAGAGGGGCACAGTTGCATAGGTTGGTGGCTCCTAAACATTTGGGTTCCAAGAATTAGTAAAACACTCCTCTACCCCCAATGGGTGACCCTTATAGGGTTGCTATTTCATTATCTTCTGTTACCATCATTTCATAAAAGATCAGATATTTTAACCCCACAGATTTAGAAAACATAATTTCAGAATAATAGGACTTCAAACCGAATACATCCAACTTTTTGAAAAGTTCATTGTAACCATCTTTTTCTCATTTTGGTGAAAACTGCTATAGTATCAGCACATAGGAACAACCACACTACATTAATTTTATTCCACTTATAGAATCACAATAGATGAAAGGACCCCTGCAGTCTCTCAGCTCTAGCTGTCTATGACCCTGCAACTGCACGAGCTTTAACAACTGCCAGCCCGGTGCTCTCTCCATAGGGTCGAGCTCTTCTGACAGGCAAGTTTTAGGAACATCCTGGAAACACATTTTTTATTCATTAGTGTGTGTCAGTGGCTCCAAAAAGAGATCTTTTTCAAATAACCCCACCATAGGCAGACTAGGGCCATCCCCCTGATGAAATGGCTTGTCCAGCTCAAAATCAATTAGGTGTCTTCTCAGATAACTTCTTCCACACACAAGGAGCAGCATATTGATTTTACTTTTGAAATATTCATAAATTGACTATCACATTACCAAAAAAAAAAAAAAATCAGGACAGGACATAATGAATGCTAGGCATTCCCAGAGGGAACTAGGGCTTTCTGTTTATAAACTGACAAACTAGAAAATCTCACAATGCCAAGCAGAGCTGGCTTCCCAAGTAAAAATCCTAGCACAGAATCCTATCTTCCTTTGGATAAAGGTCTTGGACAACCTCTTCTCAAACTTTCTAAGCACCCACATGTCCTACAGCATCTGCTCCTGTCACTGGCCTTAGAGTGTGGTCCTACGCTATCCTAGCAGGTGCAGCCCAAGTGCCGTGGAGCAGAGACATGAGTGGTCAGTTGGCCAGGCTGTTGCAGACGACTTTCTCAGGTACCCCAGGACCCCTGCTCACCCTCAAGTGCAGATTTTTAGAATTTTGTCTCACTTTTGTCTTTCAGATCACTATCATAGAGCATCCCGTGGGGCTTGCCAGGGGCACAAACGTGAAGTGGTCACCAGCAGTTCCAACAAGAGGGGAAGTACCACCCAAAGGTGCCTGTGGCTTTCCATCTGGAACTGCAGATGTAGGCTTAGTGTTCCAAGTTTGCTTCATAAGATTTACTTTTTAAATTTTGGAAGTTAACGTGGTGGCACCTGCCTATCATCTCAGCTACCTGGGAGGATGAAGTAAGAGGAGTACAATGTTCAAGGCAAGAAGATCCTGAGTTTGTGACTAGCCCTGGCAACTTAGCAAGACCCCATCTCAAAATATTTAAAAGGGGTTAGCGATAAAGT